TTTTTTCTATGAATTTTAATGAATATAAAAATTAATAAAATGTATTTTATTTATTTTGTGTTACACAATTTTAATTTATTTATTTTTAACACCGCACCCCCAGCCCCCCCATTTTTTCTTTGGCTACGCGCCAGGGGATGCTGCAGCTCCCCTACTTCCCGCGGTAAAGGGTAGTCATGCTCATGGAGAGCAGCACACGAATGTTTGGAGCAGACACAGCAGCAGTCAGATTGTCCCGCACATGTTCTCCTGCTCTTGCTCAAGGTTGTGTGGTTCAGGGGTCTTTATCATGGTCTTCCTCATCCTCTCCATGCACTCAGACAAAGACAGCCTCGATGTCCCTTTCCCATCCATGATCAGATTCAGTCTGACTGCAGCAATGAGGGACGTGATGGACGGCAGAGACAGGTGAAGGTGGACACGATCGTCAGCTGCTTCATCAGAATAAAGCTGCAGAACTGTCTCAGCTGTGTTGAGATGCAGTAGAAGTGGCTTCACCACCTGTAAATACATCATTGTTAGAACAATGTTTGAATAAAGCTTTGTTTCATGTGTTGTTGACTTGTATTTATTTATTGCCATTACTTTGATTTATTATTTTACTCATTTATTCATGTTTCCTGTTGTTGTCAGTAAATAAAACATAATTGTTTCATTAATGTATGCATTCATTATTATATGTATTCACCTTGGCTGAATTTGTCTAGTGTGTAGTTATGCATAGCTATGGCATTTGACACAACAAATTACATTTTGCTTGTTTTACTAAAAAAATAAAGATTTTAATATTATTATTATTAATATTATATAAATACAAACACATGCATGTATATATTTAAGAAAAATATGTTGTTCATATATTAAATAAATAATATATATAAGAATATATACATGTAAATGTTTTCCGGGCAACAGCTCTGGTGGACATTCCTGCAGTCAGCATGCCAATTGCACGCTCCCTTAAAACTTGCAACATCTGTGGCATTGTGCTGTGTGATAAAACTGCACATTTTAGAGTGGCCTTTTATTGTGGCCAGCCTAAGGCACACCTGTGTAATAATCATGCTGTCTCATCAGTATCTTGATATGCCACACCTGAGAGGTGGATGGATTATCTCGGCAAAGAAGTACTCACTAACAGATTTAGACAGATTTGTGAACAATATTTGAGAGAAATAGGCCTTTTGTGTACATAGAAAAAGTCTTAGATCTTTGAGTTCAGCTCATGAAAAATGGGGGCAAAACAGGTGTTGCGTTTATATTTTTGTTCAATGTATACACATATATATATAAAATTATTGATCAGCATTTATCACTATTATTGTAAGTGTTGGAGTGGGCTAGTAATGCATTCGGGGGTAATCTTAATTTCTAAGTAGTAATATATGTGGTAAGGTGGGTGATGTAATCTTTCCTCATTGACATGTGGTTGTCATCCACAATAGCCTATTAGAACCTGTCTTTCCGGGTATTTAAGGCTGGAGTTATGCCACCTGGTGTACGTCACTGCTGGGACCGCACCTATGGAGTGCGAGTGTATAGATGCGCGTGGAATGGCCATTTGATGCGTTGTGTTGGGTTACAGGCTGTCCACTAAATGTCAGGTAGGTGTCTGGTCGTATTACGTGCTGCTCGTTGAGCATCGGGTGATGTTAACCGGTGCTTATTTACTACTTAGCTGTGAAATTCTTCGGTGAAGGTGTCTTCCTGCATGAGCTTCTATGCTTGTTATGAGTTGAGAGCAATGGCACAATTCGTGCGGCACAACGATCTGTTTTGGTAAGTGCGATCCGTTTTCTCTTGTTCACAGGAAAAGTGATATTTTAGTAATTGCCCTGTTCTTTTAGTGCACTGAGGTTTTTCTCTGACGCTGCGCTGGTTAGTCGCGGGAGAAGGCGGAAGTGTCTACACTCAGCGTTAAAAGAGTACGGCACTGCTGTTTTCTTTTGTTATTTTCTCGTCTTTTGTGTTTCTTTCCTTTGTTTAATTTAAATAACATTGTGTTATTTTCCTGCTCTATATATTTTGTTTCCTGTTTGTTTGTTGTAAATATAACATTGTGATATTATTTCTTTATACATATTGTTTTCTTTTTAAGTTGATGGATGTATTTTTATTGTGTTATGGAATGTAAAATTTTCTTTTGTGTTTGTTTTAGGCACTGTAGGGCGCGAGGCTGGGAGGCTAGCTGGTAGGGAGTACTGGTGATGGTACAATCGTGTGGAGTGCAGTGTTGTTTGGATTCACGTTTTACTCTGTGTGAGTGTGTGTGCGTGGGATGCCCTAGCGTACAGCATATTGTTTTCTTTTTAAGTTGATGGATGTATTTTTATTGTGTTATGGAATGTAAAATTTTCTTTTGTTTGTTTTAGGCACTGTAGGGCCCGAGGCTGGGAGGCTAGCTGGTAGGGAGTACTGGTGATGGTACAATCGTGTGGAGTGCAGTGTTGTTTGGATTCACGTTTTACTCTGTGTGAGTGTGTGTGCGTGGGATGCACTAGCGTACAGATAGGATCTTCACTTCAGCTAGCCTGCCTTTGCTGCTGGAAAGCCTGTGCCTGTTTATTGGGTTGTTTTCCTTTGAGTATGCTTAAATTGTTTCTTTATCTGGTGAAGTATACAGAGTTGCCGATATACGATGTTTAATTGTGATCAGACACGTGACATTGATGCCCTTGAGTGTTTTTATAATTTGTTGTGACAATTTGAATAAAGCGTTAGTACATTGTTTACACGACTCTTTGGGTTTTACTTAGCCTACGAACCTGTGTCCCTGATTTGAGTGGTTATTTCCCCATTTCTTTACGGGGTGGCGTAGTCGGTTTTCTTTTGGTTTAGGGGGGTTCTGACTTAGTCGTACATTAACTCTCCTCCCCCTCCCCTCAGCATTGCCACGTATACTTACATTTGTCCTGTATAAAATAAACAGTCTTCTCCAAAGACGAGATTTTCAAGCAGCTGCCCGATGTCTTCGTGCAAACATTGCAAACACGGAAGAAAATATACTAGGTAGGGTTGTGGAGTTACTGATGCTATGAGGTGATAGTGCACCTGTCCCTCTTATCATCTTTTTAATGTTATTACTGCAAAACTTTTAATTACATACAAGCTCAGGGAAAGATGGTTGTATCTTTAACAATTAACAATCATAATGACACAAAAAAAAAAAAACAGAAAACAAATTCCCACTTTTCATCCATACTACTCTTCTGCAATTATCACACGCTTTCATTCAACACTAAACTTAACATATCAATAGCTTTATCTGCAAAAAGGGGTTAAAAACAACAAGGTTACATTTTAACACCTCAGGCATATATAATGCATACAACATATTACTTGTGAATATAGTTGCCCTTTTATACACATAAATGATTGTCTTTTGAAATCATCCAGTGAGTTTTGCGTGTTCATTTGTCTCTCAAAGAGAAGCGCACAGTTTTTCTGGAATTTAGAGAAAGGGGAGCACCGAGAAAACCCTGAGGGTTTTCCAAGGAGGTTGTAAAAAGGTCCTGGTCATAGACCTGCTATTCTTCTCATTTGGACGTGGAGATATAAAATAGTTTCTTTTGTTGACGGGATTATTAATTTATGTGTCAAATGGTCATGGGTATCACGCATCTGGTCCCTGAAGGCCCGTCAAACAAAGATAGTTTGTATCCTCCGGGTGAGTTAGGGTCTTAGCACTGCTTTTCTTTGAGTCTCTTGAGAAGATAAGCCAAATGGGACAGGAACTGCTGAGACACTGAACTGACCCTGTATTAGTTTTACGACCGCAGATGGCTACGGAGGATACTCTTCACTTTGTTTATATGGAATGTGGTTGTTTCATGTTTGACTCCATAGTTTAAATGGTTCTGTTTGAAGACAGAAATCCTACACATCCCCCTTTGGCTCGGTGATGTTCCCGGTGCGAACATCGGCGGGCACTGGAACAAGAGGCATAGAGAGAGAGAACAGGCACACACAAGATACAAACAACATCTCCATCACTAACTGAATCCTGGTGCAAGG